GAGAATTACTGACTCCTCTGAAGAATTAGGAGTCAATAAATGGTACTCAGTGAATTCAATGCACAAAGAACAACTATGATTTCTCCATGTAGGACAGGCTGTTGCTCTGGGTTGAGCTGTGTTTTGGGAAGAACTGGTCAATCTGCCCAGGTCAATCCACCTGGTCTTGGCTAGGTCCAAGGCTGACTGCTTCTTCTGCTAGTGCCAGCATTTGCTGGTGTACAATTCACATGCTTTTCATCATAGTGCCATGTTTAGGTTTTGAATCTTTTTCCTTTTCTTTCCTTCATCTTTTCCAGGGACAATTGTTGAACATCCACTGTATATAGACATTATACTAAGTGCTGAAGGGCTGTATCAATACTTTATAAGTAATAGTCTTTGCAGACATAGTGCAGAATTATGCACACCTCAAAGCTCATTTTACTAATGAAGTCCTTCCCCCATACAAGTATTTACTTCAACTAATTGTCAACAAATTCATATACATTTGATTTCCTAATAAATGTTTTAATTTTTAAAAAACTCACCCCATAGACTATGTGGGAAGAGAGCATCAAGAGAATAACATCCTGTCCGTATCCTCTGAAAGAAGGGCGTAGCTAGGCAAATAGGAGGCGGTTTCGTTTCTGTGCTTCAGTTATTAACCACTGATTCCGAGCTTACGGGAGATGCTCCTCTTGCATTATTCTGTTTCTTCTTCTCAGCTCCGGTAGCTCTGCCCCTTCTGTGTTCTTCTGTGCTCGCTGGCTTCTTTCCTAAGTCACACCTGAGTTCTCACAGAAGGAAACAGAAGTGCCCCAGCTGAAATCAACCTAAGAAATAGCTGGTTGCCCCCAGCAGTCAAATTGAAGGGGAAAGAAAGCATACTGTGACTCTTCTTGGGTAACAGCATTCAATGTTGCCTCTCCACATCTGCAGTATCTGAAGAACACGTACCAATGAATTATTTTATACCAAATGTTATGTGGGTACGTACACCAAATGATCAAGTAACTAAAGTATTTATTCAAATCCTCCATATAGCCACTTGTGATTCTTGCAAAGCATGTGTTTCTTATGGTCATGCTTGTGTTCTCATATTGCATGTATATGTTTTCTGTGAGTGAAAGTATTACGAGCCTGTGTGAGTGCATGTAATATGTCAGTTTAATCATGTCTGTAACAAACGGTTCTACAGGAAGGGTTCTTTCCCGCGTGAACACCGTCAGAGGTGTTCATTTGTTGTATATATGATTATATGTGTATACACATTTATACATTTATATATCACCTGTATAACCATATGGTACTATGTAGATACCTAAACATACCGAGGTGAAGCTCTTGGCTCCAAGCTGAGAGGCTGTGGTTTGAAGCTGGGCAGCTCCACGCAGAAAGAAGTGGGGGTTTGCTTTGGGAACCAGTTAGTCTTGGGAAGCCTACAGAACAGTTCTATTCTGCCCTAGAATTAGAATCCAAATCAGCTTGACAGCAAGGGTTTAGCTTAGTTCTTCTCTGTATTCACGAGTGTATTGACATACTGAGTCAACATGTACAATCTGTTTCTTGATCACTTGTGAAAACTAGGGAAGTGTGTATCTATAAAAACATAGGGCTAGCTTTAAGGTATTTTCAGCTGGTTGTTCCCCAGGTACTTCCTTTAGAGGTGATCAGTTCCAAATCTACCCTAAACAATATCAATCTTGCACATTGCTTGCTTTGGCCCACCACAATTCACTGCATGCATCAGAACTTCTTTCTTCTGCTTCTCCTCTCTGTTGTGAGATCACACCTTCTGTACACAGGGCCCTCAAGTCTATGCAAATCCATGGCTACACTTTGCCTGTCATTTTGCCTGGTTCACTTTCCCTCGCTCAGACTTGCACTACTAGATGATGGTGGAAATCAAACTAGTTCCCCTCTAAGAACTGTAAACTCAGAGATGATTTGGAAGCTCTTCTGTGGTGCCTTTGGCGTGTCATCACAGTTGAAGGCTATTTTATGAAGGTCTGTTTTATGTTTGACTCCATCTAAGAAGGGTCTGATCCCAGATCAGAGGGTTTTGTTGGTACCCTGATCACAGGGTGTCCATTAGAGGAAAAGTGAATTTGTGTTTGATGAGGGATTAGCTGAGCCCTTGTGGCACCAGCACTTCTAGGGGAATAATTCCTTAATTTATGCTATCGATAAGGTTTCTGAATTGTTGTAATTGTCTGAAAACTATGACGACGTTCTTGATGATGCTGATGAACATCAACTCTTATGAAGATACTATCTCAAAGACTTGGATAGGAAAGGCGGAACTATTAGGAAAAAAGCATAAGACCCAAAACAAAATCATACCCTATGTGAATGTGTGTGTCGGGGGGCATAGAATGGAGACCCAATGCCCATCTGTAGACAATTGGACATCCCTCACAGAGGGGTCACATCCCTGTCAGTGAGTATAGTACTGATAAAACACACAACTTTCCTTTAGTTCCTTAATGCTTCCTTCCCCCAACTATCATGACCTTATTTCTACCTTACAAATTGGATTAGACCAGAACATGCACACTGCTACAGAAAAGAGCCTGAAACACAGGGAATCCAGGATAGATAAACTTCTTGGGGCCAACAAGGAGAGTAGAGATACCAGGAGGATTAAGGGAGGGTGGGGGGAATCGATCACAAGGATCAATCTAGAACCCCCTCCCAGGGGGATGAACAACGGAAAAGTGGGTGAGGGGCAACGGAGGATGTCGTAAGATATGAAAATAATAATCTATAACTTATCAAGGGCAGGGAAGGGAGGGGGAAGAAATGGGGAGCTGATATCAGGGGCTCATTTGGGAAGACAATACTTTGAAAATGATGATGGCAGCATATGGGCAAATGTGCTTGACACACTGGATGAATGTATGGATTGTGATAAGAGATGTAAGAGCTCCCAATAAAAGTATTTAATTAAACAAAATCTATATTGCAATTGGAAAAAAAAGGAAAAGAAAAAAACAGAAATATGGAGAAAAAAAACCCAGAGAGTTATGTTCCAGTGCCTCTAATTTTTCTGTATAGGAGTTTATTCACATATTCGCATGGCTCTTGGTGCTTGCTTTAGTAGTAGGCAAAAATATATACTGATTTATATTAAATTACTTGACTTCATTTGCCCAGAGAGAGCATATTGTAGGACAATGCTTCTCAACTGGGATCAATTTTGCCCTTCCATTTTGCCCAAAGGACATTCAGAGATGTCTGGAGACAGTTTGGCTGTCACAACCGGGTGCTTCTGAAATCTGAGGGGCAGAGGCCAAGGGTTCTGCTAAAAACCCTACAATAAACAAGATACCTCTCCACACAGCAAAGAATTAATTGGCCCCAAATATTAGTGTCTGAGGTGTCAACTAAGTTCACATGGAAGAAGCACACCAGTTGTGTGATCCAAGGACTGTAAGTAATGTAATCCAAATCTAAAAGAGGGAATGGTATCTGAATTTACATTGTGAACACCTGGTTTGCAGAAGGCCATGGATGACAGTGGAAGCCCAAAAATCCATTTGCAGGGACCACACATGGATTAGGTCTCTAGGGAATCCCCTCTGACCATAGTTGAGGAATGAGAATAGCCCTGTTATCAGACAGACAGCATTGTAAAGTCGATTATGGCAGATGTCCATAGGTTAAAATGTAATATCATTTGATCTCTTTAGACCCATTTTAAAGCTGTTTCAGTTTAAAAAAAAAAGTGAAGGGGAAATACACAGAATTAAGACCCTGGTGAATCCCCTCTGACCATGGACAAGGAAGTGTCTAGCCTTGCTGTCACGCATAATGCACTGGAAAGTGAATTGTTGCAGATGCAGTTAGGTTAAAATTTAGCACCCTATCAATTGATCTCCCTTATGATCCTTTTAAAATGTGTTGAAGATTTTAATATTTTCTGCTTCCTTTTTGTTTGAGGTTTTTATATGTTTTACTTGGTTATTTTTGTTAGCTTAAATTTTTTAAAAATATGTTTTCCTGTATATGAAATCCAGGATAGGTAGCTGGATCAATGGCTCCTTTGGGATATGGCGGGGGAGGTTGGGAAGTGGGGAGCTAACAATGATGAGTACAAGAAAGAAGGAACTATTCTAAAACTGATGGTGGTGGTAATTATACAACTCTTCTTGATGTGGCTGAACGATTGAATTGTATGATACGTGAATCACATGCCAATCAAACTATTGAAAAACAAACCAAAATATTAGTGTCATTCCTGGGGCCTCGCTACAGAGATTAAGAATAGCATTTACACCAGACTGTTTGGTCCTGTTTGAACTCCTAGCTCCATGACTTTTCGTCGAGTGGCCTTGAGCTCAGGATTGATTAACCCTCGGTCCCTTCGTTTCTCTATTCATAAATGAGGTTATTAATAGTATGATACATCAAAGGATTAGACGAGCTCACGCAGGGTTGTTGCTTAGAGCATTAATTAGTAAATAGAAGTCTTTGATAAAGGGTTACTATTATGTTAATGAAGCATGTAGGTTAAATCATAAAAATAATATTCTGATGAATGGACATCAACCCTGGAGCGTCCTTTATTCCTGTTGTCTGCTTGTAGAAAGATCAACATGTGAAGGAACACCTGTCCTTTGCTATATTTTGTTTTTGTTATCAAGTGCCATGGAACGCGGTAGATCTTGACACGTGGTGATGTGTACAAAGTTACACTAGTCCGTAGGGAATGACTGTCACCCTTGCAAGCAGATCTTCAGGCCTGTTTTCTGTGGCACCCGTGGGAGGGTTTGAACTGCTAGGTTTGTGATGAGTAGCTCAGTCCTTAACCACCTGGACCACTCAGGGTTTCTTTTTTTCAGTCGTCGATAGAAAATAGACGGGGTGCGTTTCTGGAGCAGGTTATTTTGTTGTGAAGATGACAGGGTTCGCTGAGTGGCTGGTTCGGCAGCCGAGTAGCAGGTTTCCTGTACAGGGTTCTCTTCGGATGGTTCACCTTCTTTCTCTCTTGCAGGTAAAGTTCCTGAGGTGGGAAAATGAAGCCCCAGACGACCATGATGTGCTGTTTTGTATTTTTTCTGGCCACAGAATGTTCCTACAATAGGCCCCAAATCCACACAAAAGTAAGTTTGTTTCATTCCTATGTCATCCCAGAAGCAATCTTACAGCTTCTCTGGAAGGATAGATTTCTGATAAACCACAGGCTACTTTAAATGCATTTTTAAATAAGTCTAATTTTATACTTGCTGCTAGTAGTTGTCTAAAGAAGGGGACAAAGAGTGAGAGGCCACAGGAACTTCTTCCAGGTGTCACCGCAGAACCATCACTTTGCAGCTACAGAGAATGTACCTGCTGTGGTGAGAGGGTGAGGAACGAACCTAGGAGCTGAATAATCTAGATTCAACTATGAACTGTGCTAATCGCTGCTGGCTCATGCTGCTTTGGTTCTGGGAGTCTTAACTTCCTTACCTACAACGCCACAGGATTTCTTTGGTAGTATTTAGAGATATCCCCAGTTATGAAAGAGTGTATCATTCTGTTAATCCAACCTAATGATAGTTCTCATATCCTTTCATTTCTTCCTCTCTAAGGACATACAGTATCCAGTAGACCATAGCAGTCCCATGTCATTGTTAAAGTAAATGCTGAAAAGAGCTTAGTGATACAGTCGGCATCCTCTCTGTCTTCTTTGGATCCTTTAACTTCCCAAGTGGTCTACCCAATCCACTAACTTGATCTGAGCACTCCAGTGGCAAGTGTCACCTCCCGGTTCTAGCCCTCATTAACCCAAACCCCAAATGGAATGCCCTGCTATTGAGTTGATTCCTTCTCCCAGTGTTCTGAGACTGATAAACTTGATGGGAGCATATGTTAGTCTGGGTACTTTAGAGAAACAAATCCACAGAACTCATGTATGAGAGTTTTATATAAAGGTTAAGTGAGCATCAAGAAAACATCCCAACCCAGTGCTGCCTAAACTCACAAGTCCAACATTTACCCGTTAACCCCTATGCCCAACGACCTGTTCACAAAGTCCTCCTCCATCTCACAAAACAGACGCAATGATGCTGACTGCAGGAGGAAAGCCCAGTCAGTGAATGTGTAAGCATCTCAGTGCTGACAGGAGTCTCCACACGGCAGCTCCAGCACCCAGGGCTGCATCGGGATAGGTCCATGTGGCTTCTCCTTGGGGATGTCTTATAGGAAGTCAGTCTTGCCAGCTGAAGCAAGGAACTGCTAAGGCAGCTGCACCCTGGTGCGACCATCACAAAGCAAAAGACCTGAGCCATTTATCCCTCTGCCCTTCAATTAACCCCACTTGTGTTTATCGGCCAGGTTGCCACAATAAACTTACTCAGAGCACACAGTCTTATTTTTCTCCTGAGGAACAGCTGGTGGGTTTAAATCCCCACTCTGTGCTTAAATGCCAAAGCCAAAGCCAAAGTGCTACCATGGCTCCTTTAGCCTCATGGGAGGACAGTTTATTCCATGCTTCTGTCAGCAAGTTCCTGCAACGTGAGCACATGAATCTCCTGCAATTTTCTTTTTTGTATCTGAGGGCATTTTTGCCTACATATTCTTTGGGAACCTCTAAGTTGTGAGGGGAGAGAAAAGACCTTCACTAAGAGGACATTTTGGAAATTATGTTTTTCAGGACGGACATAAATATCAAAAGCCTGAAGAAAAACCAAAGGTTGGAAGGACACAAGGTATGTGGTAATAGGCCCAACTCTATCCATTTTGGAAGCTGAGTAGAGTAATGGGAGCACATTGGTGTCACAAGCATGTTTCAATGATGCAAATGACAGGCTTTCAAATAGAATTGCAGTCTTTTTCCCCCCAATTATTTTATTAGGGGCTCATACAACTCTTATCACAATTCATACATACATCAATTGTGTAAAGCACATTTATACATTCATTGCCCTCATCATTCTCAAAACACTTGCTCTCCACTTAAGCCCCTGGCATCAGCTCCTCATTCCCCCCCCCATCCCTGCTCCTCCCTCCCTCATGTCATATCTTGCCCTGTCTGACATCTCCCTTCACCCACTTTTCTGTTGTCCATCCCCCAGAGAGGAGGTCACATGTAGATCCGTGTAATTGGTTTCCCTTTTCCACCCCATCCTGGCTCCAACCTCCTGGTATTGCCACTCTCACCACTGGTCCTGAAGGGATCATCTGTCCTGGATTCCCTGTGTTTCCAGTTCCTATCTGTACCAGTGTACATCCT